AGAAAGCTTAACTTTCATCTCTACACCAAATAAGCATGACACTGTCCCTGCAACAAAAGAGGGAGTGAAAGGGACTTTAGGGAATTGGATGTCCCCAGCTGACCTGGAAAATGCTTCTAGAGAGAGGTTTCCAGGTTGTATGAAAGGTGTGTGGGCAGATAAAATGTTATTATTGTTATGCCTATTTCCCGAATTGCTATCCATCCTAAACGTACATTATTAATTTCTCTACTTTCAAAAGATTTTAATAAAAATGCAATTGCAAAAAGATGTATTCCACTTGTCATTTAAGTGCATAAAAACAGTTCAGTTATTGTCTCTGTGTCCAGAAGGAAATATTGATTTTATATTTATTTGTTTTAAAATTACTAATGCTAAAAATTGTAAAAGATTGGCAGGATTTTCAGTCCAGTAATATTTAAAAAAAAAAAGGTTTCATTGCATACTTTGTATCAGATTGAAATTCTCTAATTTTCTTGGTGTGATGATTGTAGCTACTGTAATTTGTAGATGGGTAATTGATACTCATGGCATTGATGTAAAGTTAAATTTTGAATGTTCTTTTCAAACATCTAGAAATTACAAAGAAAAATGGTGTATTTTGATTTAAGTGTAAAGTCGTGTATATTATTTTTAGTTGTTTTGTATAAGTTGAAGTAATTACAAGAAGTTTTAATTTTTAGGTAGGACAATGTATGTCATACCTTTTAGCATGGGTCCCATTGGGTCTCCTATTGCAAAAATAGGCATCCAGCTAACAGATTCTCCATACGTGGTGTGCTGTATGAGAATTATGACTAGGATGGGATCTGCAGTACTGAAGACTTTAGGAGAGCAACAGTTTATTAAATGTTTACACTCGGTCGGACAGCCTCTACCAATGAAGTGTGAGTTTAAGTATTTTGATTATGTATTTTTAGTAACATTTGTCATTGTAAAAATATGGTTATGCATGTGTGTGTGTGTAGACAAGCTTTTAGACCATAGGAGAATTGCATTTGGAGTTTTTATCAATGTATATTTAATACCTAATAAATTAATAGTGTATTGAGAGCTAACAACTGTAATTTAAAAAAAAGAAAAAAAACAAAAAAAAACATATTTCTTTGGATTACAGATATACATGTAAATATATTGAGGATGAAGTTTAACTTTAACAGCATTTTGGGTTATTTTTACTTTTCTAAAAGTGATGAAATGTAGGTTTACAAACATTTTTAGATAACCCGTCTACATATTTCATTTATTATACTTTAATAAATGTGTGATGAAAGTTTGGGTCTGATCTTTAGGTCACTAGTATTATACACACTGTATCTTTATTACTATGATGTTCCTTTCTGTCATGTACATTTTCAAGAGCTGAGTTGTTAATAATATGTTTAAAACATTATTAATAAATCAATCACGAGAAGAATTGCCCTTTTAGTTTCAGTATTTCCTGTTTCTAACACCATGCCATGATTATGAAATCAATCTTTAATAGGAATTCGTGTTTAATACATCTATATCAGAGTTGACAAACCACTCAAAAGACACAAGGGTTCTTTTGTCTATACATTTCTTTCTGCTATGTGTAGTACCCCTGGTGACTACAAAATATTTCACTGTTTTTGAAGGAATAAAGTGAAGTATATGTAGCTGAGGTGAAATGTAAAATATTTTGTGAGTGATATATAACAGTTTTCACGCCTGGATTTCAAGTTAGTCTGTGTGTGTAAAGAGTGAATGTATAAAAATTATGAAGGCTTTAGTAAATTGATAAATATTTTGTTGTGGAGTGTTCATCACAAAATCAAAATTAAGAGTAATCAATGTCCAATCAGCACATTCAAGTTCATGATTTCAATCACTTGTGTGGTTCAATAGAAACTTTATTTGTGAATCAGTCTTTTAACTGTGGTCAGTTTTATAAAGTACAAAGTTGATTTCTTGAATTACCTTTGAATTTGTAATATCACACAATAGTTTGATTATTGACAAGGTTTATGCAGTAATTTTTTTTAATACAGAAGCTTTAACAGTAAAAACAGACTAGCAAATGTTGTAAAAAAATAAAGTATTCCAAACAGTGAAAGTTAGCCAACATATCAACTGTATAAAATTTGTTAATAAACTTTCAAGTTTTAAATGCCAAATTACTTACTGTTTTAGATTTAGAAGAGATAATCGTCTAGTTCAACTGATTTGCTAGTGGTTGTATTTTTAGTGTAATGTCAAACTAAACATTTTGACTTAAAATTCCAAATAAATAAAAATCTTGTACAATAAATTAAAATAAAGAAAGAAAATTGGTATTAGTGTCTTTATTGACTTTAGGAAATGGGTCAATAGTTTGTCCTTGTCAAGAATTCAGAGATGTCATTTTTTTTTTTTTTTATCAGTGCTTAACCTGGAGGATGTAAGTGAATAGATAAGATTTAGGCAGCCTTGAAATGAACACGTAAAGCTGTAGCATGATAAATATAACTGTGTTCTCATGTATTCAGCAGTTTTCTGATAGTGAGTGTGATTAAAAAGAAAAGGTGATATTATAAGTTTTAGTACAGGCGTATGTGAGAGGTTTTGTGGGATGGATGTAAAAATTGTATGTATATCAAATGATGTATTTTTGAGTCATTCATCTTTATGTACAATATTTATCTGTTCTTTAATATTTTAAAAGAAAAGCATGCGTCTGCTTTCTTGATAAATATACTTCACTCTTTGACTACCGTGGGTAGCTTCATGTCGTCCCGTTAGAGCAGTTGTCTAATTTTAGTTTTAATGATGTTATTCCACAGATGTAGACTTGGAATTTGTTATTAAAATACTGTACCACGAGTTATTGCTTCCCGTTGTGCTGTGGTGTAATCATAAGTATAATATCTTGGCTGCACTCTAACAACTGTACACCATTTTGTTTTATTTTAAAACATTGCTACTTAGATGTATTTAATAAACAGGTTACAGTTCTTTTTTTCTTCTTGATAGTATAAACTACATTACTAAAACTAAGATGTTATATATTGATAAATTTGTACTTCAATTGCACTGGACATTTTTTTTTTCTTATAAATTCTTCACAGTTTATGAAAATTAACTATAAGGGAATATTTTTACTTCAAGGATAACAAGATAAAATTTGTCCTTCATCTTGATATCCATTAAATGTTAGCATTAAGATATTAATTAATTATAAGGGAATATTTTTACTTCAAGGATGACAAGATAAAATTTGTCCTTCATCTTGATATCCATTAAATGTTAGCATTAAGATAAAACCATAGCAGATTAGTTCCTAAGAATAACTTGGTGAATTTACAGAAATCTAATTGTAAACAAACACGATAAAATTCTAACAACAATTAACACGGCACAGAAATGGTCTTTTCAATAGTGAGTGTGTATTGGAATTAAATGTTACAAATTTGTTTTATAAAAACTAAGTCAAAGGATTTTTGTACTGAAAATTAAGAGATGTACACTAATTTATTTTTTCTGAGCTAACTATCAAAGTTCAGTTTACTTCATCATCATACATGTATTTACTTTTATACAAACACGTGCATGTATAAATTTTTTTGTGTGCATGTGAAGCCAAAACCAACAGAAAAATGTGAAAGTGATGAAATAATGAAATTACTTTTGTAGGTATATAGTCTTCAAAAGTTTTAAGATTTTTTATTTCCTGGAAATGTTTCGAGCACACACTGTTTTCTGTCTTGAATAAAAAGACATGTATCATCATTTTTTGAAAATTGTAATGATTTGTGTGTGTCTGTTTATATAAATAAATATATATATTTAACAGACAATTGAGCATTGCTGTTACTTTGATGCTATTAGATATGTAGGCTTTACATTTCACTCAAAGAATAATGATCTTTGTATTGGTTGTAGATAAATATTATATAGAAGTGTATGTTAATTTTGGTTGCATAATAGTTTTATTTGAATACATAACAAACTAATGTTTTTCAAATATAACCATGTGGTAGATAACATCTTTCAAAATGGAAATTAAATAGTTGACATTAATGAAAATGAAAAATTAATTGGTTGTTAATACATTTTGTGGGGTCAAATAAGAATCATGGGTATGTAATTGATTTTCTCAGAACTTGTAATATGTTTTCTCAAAACGTGATGTAATACATTTTCTCAGAACTTGATGTAATACATTTTCTTAGAACTTGTTACTCAGCATATGGAAATTTATAAGCTGTGTTATGCAGTCTAGTTTAATTTGTTTATGTGCTTAATGTTATCAACTCTGAAACAGTTATTTTCCATTTTTGGGTAGTTTATAAGTTTTACTCATTCTTATGAGGGTATTAGGAACTGTGTCTAGAGTAAACAATTTATTATAAGCTATCTTGCATGTACACCTACTATTCATGTACAATTTTGTGATGAAAAGATTTGTTGAAAACCCTCTCTATAAGATAACATCTGTGTGCTAGTATGAAACACCTATCACCACACTAGTAATAATTGTCACAATTTAGACTAACTATTGCTAAGAAAAGAATTATAAGTTTAAATGGAGTTTTGAATTTACCAAGTACTTTTTTTTTAATGAAATTTTACTTCTCTTTGATCCTAAATTGATCACCAGATAAAACTGAAGCTATAATTTCATTAACTTAAATAAGTTTCCAATTTTTTTCTTAGTTTATAAGTGTGATTATTTGATACAACACATAAATTACATGTGAATTTCTATAGTAATTTCACCTTGGCTAAAGGCTTATATGATAAACTCTTGGTTTTGTGATGATTTGTACAGAATTTTATTTATATTTTTTAATGTTTTACAAGTTACAACCAGAAGGTAAGTTTTTGTACTTGACTGATCACTTAAAATTTGTGTTTAATTAATCATTGATATTTTGTTTTTCTAGCACCTCCTATTAATAATTGGCCGTGCAATCCTTCAAAGACCATCATAGCACATATCCCTGAAAACAACGAGATATGCTCTTTTGGAAGTGGATATGGTGGAAATTCTCTTCTGGGCAAGAAGTGCTTTGCCCTACGTATAGGATCAATATTAGCAAAAAGAGAAGGCTGGCTTGCAGAGCACATGCTGGTGAGTCAAAAAATAAAATTGTGTAAGAAAATTCATATTATTTTCCAGTAAATATTTATAAGTAATATGTGATGAAGATTTTTTACCTTTTTGTGAAAGATTTCTAAGTATTTTGTCTTTGTAAACAATCCTAATGGGAAAATAACCACTGCCCAAATTGATACAATAATATAATCTGTTATTCTACTTAATAATTTTAAATAAAGTGTGAAGGGTAAATTAATATAAATGGCAATATTTTCTTTAAGTTGTATGAGCAGTATTTTTCAGAGTTCAGTAAATAGTATTCTTGATATCTAGTTCTTCCATATAAAGAAAAAAACAGGAAACATTTCAGTCATGTTTAAAATGTAGCTGCTATATAATTATAGTTGCGTGCACATGTACGACTTTGAACATGTAAAAACGAAGGAGCAGTTACTTCAGAACTTGTTCATTTGTACAAAAAACATTCAATAGGGAGTACTTTTCATTTCACAAGTACCTAACCCAATATACTAAATTTTGTTTTATTTTTACCTCTGATTCTTGTGGTTAATTATGTAACATCCTGGAAGATGAAATATTTTAAAATATGGAAAATTGTGTATCAAAGACAGACACGGGTTTGAAAATATTTAAGTTATTTTAGCGAGTGAGCACTTTTGAAGATTAAATTTTCATTACTTTCTCACCTCTCTTATCATATATATTTTCCACACCTTTACTTTGATTACGAGGTTGCCTGTATCACAGTTAAAAATGTCCCTCAACCCGTATTCATGTTTACATGTGTGTGCTAAGAGTTTCCACCTTTACCCCTGTTCGTGTTTACATGTGTGTGCTAAGAGTTTCCACCTTTACCCCTGTTCGTGTTTACATGTGTGTGCTAAGAGTTTCCACCTTTACCCCTGTTCGTGTTTACATGTGTGTGCTAAGAGTTTCCACCTTTACCCCTGTTCGCGTTTACATGTGTGTGCTAAGAGTTTCCACCTTTACCCCTGTTCGCGTTTACATGTGTGTGCTAA